CGGTTCGGTAACAGTTTTATATTTGGCAGTTTTGGAAATGGCTTTGAGCTCAGCGATTGTGTTTAATGTTTTCTTATTTGGTTAGGTCTATGAAATGAAAGAATTGAGGCACCAAGGAAAAATAATATGATAACCATTGCGTTATGTGCACCTTAGAAGTTTTGTGTTGCTTGTTTCTCGCTGTTAGTGTAGATTCAGCTTTTTCTTCAAGAACTGTTGAAACTAAGAATTTTGATCAAGTAATTTCAGGATGGGCTCTCATTCTGGGATGTGATTTATTCTCTGAAAATCGTATGGCCTTAAGACTAGTAGAAAGTCATCTTAAGAAATCATAGTGGCACATCATCGTTAGCTGAGGGATATACCTTCTCGACTACAGATTAGATTGCTAATGCACTCATCTATGGGATAATTTAATGACTGACTGCCTCTCGTGAAGAATATGGGGGTTTTATCTTATATTCATATTATGAAAACAGTTTGAAATTTGCTTCTTTCTTTCCCCAGACGTGTAACTCTTAAACCTCTATGTTTTAAGTACAATTAGTGATACTAAACTTCTCTCCGAGCTGCAGCTGTACATGGAAGGGCCAAAACTAAGTGCTGTTTCATCATTAGGACTGAGGGTTCATGTCCTCTCCTCCAGAATCATGCAGTGCTATGTCATACAGTGCATCTAGTATTAAAGATTTGTATATTATGTTTCGTGAAAAGAACAGAGAATACTCCTGGGTCTGCAGCAAAATCTTGTATTACCTGCTGAAACCATCCTTGAATGTTTCTAAAGGCCCAGAGTTTTGTAACCTAAGCTGTATACGTTCAATGAATCTAATAAGTATTTCAGAATTGTGCATAGTTTATCTATTAATAAAATATTTCAAGGTGAGGAATAAAATCTAGATGCAATTGCACTTACTGGCTGCTAAAGAAGATCCGTCTTTGCACCTTGCAGGTGCTTTGAACTTTGTGTTTAAGTGGTCCAACCTTTCCCTTTGAAGTCAATGGGTGAGCTTACCGCTGAATGCAGACTCTGAAAGTTTGATCAAAAGCCACATGAGCCGTTGAAATTTCGCTCTCATGTACATGTCAGGGCTCTAGCATCTCTTTTGTGCTTAAGTCTCGATGAAGCCACGGCTTGCTAAATTAGGACGTCTAATACAGCCACCTCTTGTCCAAAATTAGGGAGCTTTGGATCTGCAGGTATTTATTTGTACTGCTAAATCTCATGTTGTCTCTGTACTGCGCAGAAGGGACACAGCACACACCCAGCTGCACGTGTGAAGAAATATTTGCCGTGCAGTCCTCAGTGATATTATTTCATAAATCAAAGCAATATTCTTTGCTAGCAGAGCAAAGACACTCATCTTCAGTGTGAAGTTTTAAACTCCCTTTCCCATGCCTCAGTCTGGTTAAAATAGTTTTTATGTGGCAAAAGCAGGGATTCTTTGGTTTTGATGAAAAGAATGGGGAGTTTAGGCATTTCTGGTTGAAGAGAATTGGAGTTTGTTTGTATGTCTGGGAGCTGGGGATCCAATCCAAAGAGAAATAGGGATTTTTGTCAAGAGCTCACTAATGTACAGACATTAAACACACAGAGCACCAGCTCCAGAAGTGAATGCTGTTCTTGCTGTAGCAGCCCAGTCCCTGCTGTATGTTCAGTATTGCCTTTGCCCTATGTTCATAAACCATGCATGAAGCCTAAGCAGATCAGGAAACTGGCTGACCTATAAAACTTGTGAAATATTGACTTCTGAGAGACAAAAAGTAGCAGTTTGCCATTTAGCCTTCCAAGCTTTGAGGTTCCACACTTGGTTCCCCAGTTTCAGTTTTCTCATTTTTATTGAAAAATGAGATCTTCATTAAATTGCTTTAATTCTAGAGCCAAGCTGAAGAAAACAATGTAATATGTTGACACTAATAAAAAAATTGGGAGAGCTGGCAATTCTGCCTTTGGTATTAGAGTGATGCCCTGGTCTTCATTACAGGAGCTAACTCTACCTTTCCAAGCTCTACTCTGCTGTCCTTTGTAAAACATACAGTACACACCATCATCGGGTTTGTATTTCACAGTGAGCACTTCCTCACTTTTCCTCCCCTCCTCTGATACCTGCTAATGCTCATTTAAAGGCAATATTTCCTCACATGCCTTTCAAGCCTCGGCGTCTCGCCTGCACTTTGTCTTCGGGGAAGGCTAATAATGTAGATGAATTACATTATGCGATTTGATTGTCTTACTTTAAAAAGACAATGCGAGCTACATTAGGCAGTAGCAACCTTTCAAGCAAAAAAGATTTCTCTTTCAAATATGTACAAATTGCATGGAAGGCTTAGTTCAAAGGAGATTGATGTCGCTCATACATTTGCATTGAATTTGGCTGGCACTGGATCGAGTCCTAAAAGCCGCAGTTATTTAAGCCAACCTGCCTGATCAAGAGGAACCTGGAAAGTACTATACAGGCAGTCTAAACAGGGTGGGCTTATATTACCTACGGTGATTGCAGTAAATGGAAATGTTCAAAAGTATACGATCTATGAAGATTTTCTATTGCCCATTAATGTAAGATGTTTTGGCAGGAGTAAATATTCACTCATACAGAAGTGTTTTTGTATGTGTGACCATTCAGAACATATAAATATGTACAGTACTCATAAAAGACACAAAGGGACTCTCTTCATTTCATTGAACAGTCTATTTTGCTTTCTGAAGTCATGCAAGAGAAGAAAGCATGCTTTTGGCTTTTCTTGCTTTGGCATTCAGATCCCTAAACCCCCTACAGCTGGGACTTTTTATATTTTTCCAATGTATGGGTTTTTTTGCAGTCCTTTCTAAACCCTCTCACAGTTTGGTTGCATTTTGGGTTGAACTTCTGGCCCTTTCTGAGCCCTGTTCAATCCATTTCACCCTTCTTCTGTTACTCCAGCCAGATTTCCTCCTGTTGCAGAATCTGTAGGAGCAGATGGGTGAGAGAAACTCTGCGAGGTTCTGCTTTCTGAATATTTTCCTCTAGTTGTTGGATTGGCTCAGTGGATCTGGAGGGACCGGTTGGAAGCCAGGACCATCTGCACAAAAGCTCTTTACTTTTGCATTGGCCCAAGGATCCTTTCTATGCTCTGACTCTCTGGTGGCTTCATTCCAGCAGAACCATACTGAAGGAGGCCCTCTCCTGCTATGACCGCTTTAAGGATATCATATTAAAAGTAAAGGTCGCTGAGAAACTGTTTCCAGCTCAAGGGAGATTGGCTGTTTCTTAAAGATAAGTGCCAGTTTTGGAAATGTTGACCTCAGGGACTAAAACCACTGAGCTTTTGCAACAGTAATTCCATTGAAAGTCCTACTTAATTTAACCCACACAATTAACCCAAAATACTCCATTTAGCATTTTTTTGGAGAGGGAGAGTTTGAGGCAAGTGAGGCTGCTCTCAATCCGCATTGCTCCTGCTCACAGGAAAAAGAGAGGCACCTTGAGATGAAAACCAACGCTCAGCAGTTTACGAGACGTGCTCATTCAGGTGGTAAAAGGGGACAATGTGGGAGTCGGGCTGAGACTGGGCACAAGATCTGTAGCTCAGCTGGGCTTTCCATAAACGACAAAA